TACAATTAATAAGCTATTTTTAGTTTATGGAACATCACCTATATATACTAAGGATAAATATAAATATACAGTTTTTCATAGACCAAATGTATCCTACTTATATTAATTATCAAATAGACATTTATATGGTAAATATATTTACAACTACAGGACAAGCGAAAACATATATGAAATTTATTCCTTAACGTAAGAAACCTTAAAAAATTCAACATATATCTCACCATGATGTAATGATACATGGATAAATACACAAAAATTAATGCTTAAAAAAGTGAAACTACATTATTAGTTTCTGACGACATTATTTATAATATATATACTAATGTCAGGGAGAAAAGCCTTAGAATTATATGCCAAATAATAGATAATAACACATGTGCTTCTTATACCCAACAAAAAACTGTTAACGTAATTATTTACTGAATACATTTTACTTCATTTACTAGTGTTATTAAAATTAGAGTTACATGATTAATTGATCTATATACTTTAGTAAAATATATTTATTTTTTACTGACATTGATTTTAAAACTCATATTCTAGAAAATTGGCGCATGCGGTACATTAGCTACATAGATAAGGACGTTGCATGTGCTTACGCGTTCAAAGATATAATACAAATTATTACAAATAGCTATAAAAATTCGAGTTTCATTGAATTAAACTATTTATGTGTACACATATTAATTATCATGTTGCTATATTAAACAGTCCTATTCCTCATATTAATTATAGAAAACACATTTTCCCCCTATGATATCTACTACTATAACATCTGCTTTAATTATTTCATTATGGACGTCTTACATTTATATATAAATAATTATTACATGAGAGAAGTTGTTCTGTGTGATTATTTTTATTTTTTTTATTTAAATGATACTATTAATAGAAATTTAATTATATAATCTAAAAATTTTCAATTCATGATTATATTCTTAACGGATATTATTTTTCATATTAACTATGTGTATTCTACAGTTTCAGGAAATCCTTCCAAATTGATATTATATTTATCACCATGAATTACAAAAAGCTTAGAAATATTTTTTATAATTTAATTATTATTATAAGGAGTATTTTTTTTGAATAAATATTTATTTTATTATTTTTTTTTTTTTGCCTCGTGTATTCAAATCATTGCGAATATATCATTTTTTGAAACATGCCTTAATAATTTTAGGAACCGTTGTTATATATTTATTATTGATAATCGTCTGTATTATATGCTATTTGAAACCTGTTGTAGACTTTAAAATTATGTTCCCTTTCTAACGATTCCATCATGTTCTTATGTTCACTATGTTTTTTGTTGAAAATACTTCTGACTCTTTTTATCCTTGATTGTAAAACTGAAAAAAAAATTGTATACTGAAAAAAAAGTAACAGTATCATATTTTTAAATATTTGGAATTATTTGTATATAAAATTGTTAATATTCTGTATAATGTAAACGGTAATTCTATAAACATGAATAAAATTAAGCATATTTTTAACCTTATATAAAATGAATAAAATCGAGAATATTATAAATAATGATAAAAAGAAGCCACTGATTACCCCTGAATCATTTCCTACATCTGAAACTCCATTTGATAACATTCTTTCGACTTTTACTGCGTCCAGTGCATTATTTGGAACCTCTTCGAAACCGTGGATTGTGAATAATGGAGGCGATGCTTGTTCCACAGTCTCATCTGCTGGGCTATGGATGGACATTGTCACTTCCGCTTTATTTTTGCTTTCTTCAATGAAGGGAAGCAATGTTATTCTGCTCTCAGGACATAATTTCTTATAGGTATTCACAACATTTTCAAGCATGTCATAAAATTTTTTCTTACCCTTATATGCACATGACATTAAATATCTTATATGTTCATCACATTCTTTGTAAATATTCGACCAGCAACTACTATGATGTTTTGATATTAATTTATGAATATAGTCAGATATTTTATCAAGTTTACTAAATATTAGCAAATATCTTTTGTCAAATTCATCAATGTATGCCTCACAACTAGGATTACCCTTTAAATAATTGCTACTATTTAATTTCTGAATCATTTTTTTGTAACATGATTCAACCCCTCCACAATCAATACTTTTTTGCTGTAATTCGAACATCAACTTGTAAAAATAATATTTACATCTTTGTTTTGTGTATTCATCATTTTTTTTAGAATTTATATGATATAAATAACGACCGAAATCTGTGCAATGGACAATGAAATTACCACAATTGCCTCCTGTTACATCATTGCAAAATTTTTTGCATGCATCTGTCAACCATGTTCGACTATTTTCTCTATAGATGTATATGGCATCATTATATTCTCTTGTAAAGTTTGGAAACATCCACCTAAAATCAGGCTAATAACGGAAATTATTAGTTATACAAAGTTCTTAAATAATAGTTTTAAGAAAAAAATTTGTTTCTTTTTTTTTTTTAATGAACGATATTTTAAAACTATGTAATATGACTTCTAATTTTTATTAAGATTAATAAATTACCTCAGGACTCATTTCACTATCGTCAGTGATTATTTTTGTATATATTAATCAATGGTAAAAATGTTTTTATTTTTATTGTAATATTATTTAATAATTTAAAAATGTTATAATATATATTACATTGATGCAGTAAACACGTAATTTTAGAATTTATTATTTCCATAAAATTTTTGGAATATTTTGTTCTATTTTTTTATACGTTAATCTATTGTATTATTATACTCCAAGGATAATACAAGTATTTATTCTTATAAAGGCCAATTATTAAAAATATTTTTTAATATAGTATTTACCTAAAAATGGTAATAATAAATATACTTTTGTAATATTCTCCTATATACAATACTATTATAATAGAATATTATGGACTATAAAATATTATAAGAAATATATAAAGACAAAATGTACAGTTTTGAGGTAAAATGTTCATATCAATATTTATAATTTACATGGAAGCGAGAATGCAAATAGAAATAATTAAGTGATGGGAATGTTTAGTTTTTGGTATTCATGTTTAGGTTCAAGGATTGATAATTATTTATGGGGAATCACAATATATTTTATTGTATTTATAATATATTTATATAAATTATTTAAATAATTCTATACATATAATCATATAATTTATTGTTTTTTGTGTGAATAATATTTAAATTTTTTCATGAGTATACATCAATTATTTTTTATTGTTATTCATTTTACTATTTAAATCAGTGCAATTTAGTATTATATTATAAATATATACATTTTTATATATTTAAATAAATATATTGAATCCACATATTACATTGTAATATACAGATATTACAAGAATATAGAAATAATATTATTATGATATGTCTCCAAGAAAAAGAATATAATTATGAATGATATATTATACTTATTATTCATTATAATTTTAAACATAACGAACATATTATATCATATAAAGTAAAAAATATATATATTAATGATAATAATATATTTATTTTATTATAATTATAGTAGATTAATTTTATTTCTAGTTTATTATTAAAAAAGAGGTCTTCATGTTAATTTTCATTTTTTTTTGTACATTATTAATTATGTTTATAATTTTTCTAATCACATGATAAGACTTTTACTATGAGAATAAATTTATTATTACTATTTACACACTAAATTGTAAATAAAATAGATTAAATACATTAAAATACCAAGTTTACATTTGAAGTAGAATAATATATGAATAAATCCCTTTTTTATAATCAAAATATCGCTTAATATTTTTATTTATACTAAAAACTCTATGTTATCTGCATATATCTAATAGGTATGCCACATTCCAAGATTTGATGATTTACTGTAAATATTACATAATTTGTACGAAAAAAATAATTTTTTAGGAACAAAAGTGTATTTACTTTTAAATTGGTAAAATATAAGTACACAATTAATCATTGAGATAAAGCATTAAATAATTTTATTTATAAATTGTATAAATTATATACAAATATGAAATTGTAAAATTTCCATAAATGTTATATTTTACATAATTATAAAGATTAAGTTTATTATAAGAATCTTTATATAATATGTTAATTATTTCTATAGTGCTAAATGAGATTTTCAATCTTTGTAATGTTACTATGTTAAGAAATTACTTTTATAAAATATTATAAATTTTTAGATTCTGAATTTTATAAATGCAAAATTACTATAATGATTTCATTTTTTTTATTATAATGCAAATTGAATGGAATATAATATGTAAAAATGCATATAAACATACATGACATGATATTTATAACAAATAATTATAGAATAATATATACTTACAGAAATATTATTTAGTGAATTCCTATATATTTAAAAAAAATTTCTAAGGAATATATGCTAAAAAAAGTATATATATATATATACATAGTATTATTAACATTAAAACAAGATTAAATATATAAATACCTTAAAAAAGATAAATAAAGAACTATGTGTTTTTTCTTTTATTATTTAATAAAAAATAATATTTTATATATATACTTTATTTTACAAAACAATAAATGTACAAATTATAGTCATCGTAAAAAAGATGTTCTATTGTTCAGAATATATAAATGCTAGATCGTAAAATAAGGGAATATAAACCTTAAAGGAATTCTTAATTATATATATTCTTGAAACAATAAAAGAAGTTTTAATACTTCATTTAGCAATAGAATAATTTTCATTCTTATTGTTGCTTTAATAAGCATATTATTTATAGATCTAAATAAATAAAAAATACAAAATTAAAACTTATTTATAATATAAAATAATGAAGTAAAATTTTTTTAGATAATAAAAAAAAAACAAGTATATATAATAAACAATATTTGCTTTTTCTAATATGCTTGAAAATTCATTAACAATACTCCATATACCTATATAAGAGAGAAAGTATCGAAGAATGAGAGAAATAAAAAAGAATTCCAAAAATGATGGTTACCTAACTTTTTTGTTTACATCATGATATTACATTAAGTTAAAACTTATACAAGTTGTTCAATGAACAGGATATTCAATATTTTATATAATTCTGTATAATTTTACTATGAAATATATAATTCTAAATTTTTACTTTGTTTAAATTATATACAAAACTATGTTATATAACCAGAGAGAGATTTTTCTCATAAGATATATAAAAATAAAATAATTATTATGGAATAATTAAAAATAAATAAATATTAATTTGTAATCTTAATAATATAATTTCTAAAACAAATAATATAAGAATTTTCAGAATACCTTTTAAAAAAGTGTAAATATATAAAATCACACTATTAATGAATTTCTTTGTATTTTTGTAATATACAGTATTCTATATTTGAAATGAATCATTATATGTTAAGGTTTTATATTAGGAATAATAACGTAATACAATATTCATTCCATTATATTGATACATTGGAAGACAGTGTAACTTCAGAATATACTTTATATAAACTATTTCTATTATATCAATCTACTTTTATGTATTATTGAAATTCGCATGCAAAAAATTTCAAACAGAAATCTCATATAAGAAGTAAATATATATATAGTATTTTTTGATTTCCATATACCAAGTAATAATTCTTAGTTCTTATTCATGAGACTAATATTTTTTCATGGTATAATAAGCTAATATAAATATCCAAAATTATGTGAACGTAGGTGATATATGAATCCCATATGATTGAAAATTATTTTATGTTTGTCTTAAATATATTTAAGACGTCAATAAGTGGTAATAAAGTGCTCAATAAATGAACATATATCTATTATTATATTCTATTTTGGGAAAAAAATATAATAAAATTCGTAGAATACACGAATTTCTATATAATGCTGTAGTATGGCATTTCATTAAAAAAATAGAGCATGGGTTAAAACTTATCATAATAGAATTTTTTTTATTTCATTTAAATACAATTCTCGTTCAATAAAATAATAATGTGTTTTAATAATTATTATTATTTATATATATAAACCATTAATGAAATGTAAAAATCACAAATAAAATGATAATTATTTGAAATATAAAGTAGACATAAAATCTGTTAAGAATAATTCTACACTATTAAAAAATAATTGCTTGGTTATATATAGAGTTATAGTGAGTTTTAATTTACAACCTTGCATTCTTTGTTTCTTTTTTATAATACTTCTATAACATAACTGTTATGGTAACAGTCATTTTAACAATTAATTGATCAAGATGAATTACTCAAATATGGTAAATAAAAATTTTAAGCTACATATTACAGAATAAGAGAATTTCCCCCAATATAACGAGCACTTATTACATTAGGAATATTTTAGTGAATAAAATTTTGTAAGTATAATAATATTTCTTCTAAATTGTCCAGGAAATTATATTAGAATTTTTGTAAAACAATAAGCAATTCATGAGACCCTTTTTGGTAATGGCCTTAATAAAGGAATTGTAAATAATTGTATTAATGATTCAATTGCATTATAAGGAATATGAATAAAATTTATGTCACACCATTTCGAGGAAATAAATAAACGTGTGTATAACTAAAACTTTGTATTTAAAATAAGTATGTAATACATAGTAAAAGATCAATTACCCTTTTTAAATTAAAGGGAATGTGAAAACATTAAAAATTTTTATATAATA